CCACGTGGCATGAGAAAGTCAGGAGCACTTCAGGCTAAAGAGGGAAAAAAACCCAGCAAAAAAAGGCAGAGATGCAGCTGTGAAGAATTCAAATATTGGCTCCTCCAGGAAAGCTCCACGCTGCATCCATTACTGAAATCTGCTTATTTGTTTGGGGCTAATGATCTCCGGTTTGAGATCAGTGTGGAGCTGTTCCCCACCTTCAGAGGAAGGTCCAAGCAGGGATATTCTGTGTGAGGCAGTGGCACAAGGAGCCTTTCTCAGYTGGGAGACAGAACCTGTGAGTAATCGAGGACACTTTCAAAGAGAAAKCAGGAAAAGAACCCCAAATTAGCCCCTTTCCCACCTTCTCCATCTTCTCTTGCTATGAAAAACCATCCTCACTGCCTTCCCCACTGCTGTGAGTGTGGATTTTCAGGGATGCTTTCCAAAGGCTCCGCTCTGGGAGTGCTGCCTTTGCCATCCCATTGCTCTGGAGAAGGGACTGGTGGCTCTGRTGGCTCCAGAGGCTGCAGATGGAGCTGGAGCAGCTGGAGCTGAGGCTGTCTGTGAGGATTGATGTGGGGATTGTCTGTGAGCTCCAGAGATGGATTTTCCCATCATCTGTGAGAAAAGCAGGAGTGAAGTGAGGACCACAGGGCTGGGACATTTACTGAGTGTGTCTTGAAGCTGCCTCTGCAGGGCACTGCTCCTGGCCACCACCCCTGAACTGGTGGTGAGCTCAGGATGAACTTTCCCACTGGAAAAGGTAGCGGAGAGTGGTCTGGTGCTCCAGCATCTGTCCCTGCCCCATTGCTTCACTCACACACCCAGAATAAATAACTTCCCAGGGCAGCCCTGGCTAATTAGGGGTTAGATAATGACTGAGATAAGCACACCAGGATGAGRATAGATTGGTGTTAGAGCTGTGAGAGGGGGTGAGGAGCTCCTGTGTGATGGGGAGGGATTTGGGACCAATCCTGGATTTCTTCTGCCTCAGTGAGGGATGAGGCAGCCAAACCCCAGCGATGGCATTGCCCCATTCCCACCTCCTGAGACGCCGTGTTTGAGCCACCTCATGCAATAAAAAGYTTGGAATGACCTCTTGGATCTTATTTATGCTTTGCTGGAGCCAGRGGAAAGCCTCTGAACATGAAATATTTGTACCCATGACCGCTCACCCCGGACAGCCCCCAAATCCTTCCCCCAGTGACACGTGTGGCCTCAGTGTCTGTCCCAGCTGTTTCTCCAAAAACAAACACACGTTTTGAGAGAGCTGCAGGACTCTGGTTTCGTACARAAATGAAGCAATGTGCTTTTCACTTCCCCTCTGTGCTGTTACTTCATGTTTTCCTCCCAGCAGCGTCCTCGGGCAGCGCGTGTGGGACATGCRCGGGGCTGGCCTTTTGTCACCGTGTCACTCAGCGGGGTTTGCTAATCCCTGCTCTCATCAAAGGTTACGTGGCTTTAAAACCCTCCTTCTGATGGATGAAATGCTGTCAGTGTCTCCTCAGGGGGTTCTGACCCCTTTATCTTTGGGGCAGGTTTGGGTCACCTCAGCCCTGGTGTTGAGGGGTCTCAGCCCAGCTCTGATCCCTTCTCTGGAGCACCACGAGCCCTTTCCCCACAGATGAGGAAGCTGCTCCAGGTTTGTAGGGAATCTTCCAYCACATCCTTCCCACCTGAGCACCAGAAAAGGGGGAGAGAGAACCCAAARCAGCCCYGGAGCCCTGTGAACCTCTGGCACASTGAGCCGGGGTGATGAAGGACGTGAGGAGTGTGGGAGGAGATGCTGCTGACAGGAGGCAGCGGCTCAAGGCCACTTTGGGGGAACTTCTCATTCCATTTTCCTTGAAAACCCGTGGTGAAAGGGCAGCGTAGCATTTTCCAGCCCTCGCTCACGTCAGCAGCTTCCTGCCGTGAGTAACAGGGGGAGAGCAGGGCAGAGAGAAGGGGCTGCCTCAGGGTTACTCAGAAAGGAAATAAAGCCTCGGTGATATCCTGGGAGAGATGCAACCCCAACAGCCCAGCCACAGGCTGCCTTTTGCAATAACTGCCCCAAAAACCAGCAGCTCTCAGCCAGCCCTTGGCAGCTCCAGGGTTGGACAAAGCACCTGCAGGAGCCTCCTGTGCTGTGTGGARGGTGATTCCCACAGCAGGGACACAGTGACACTGTTCCTCTTGTCATTGAACCCTCCAGGGGTTACTGGGGGGGCTCAGGGGGCTGCAGGGAGCCTTGGAATCATAAAATACCTTGAGCAGGAAGGGTCTCACGAGGATCAGAGTCCAGTTCTTGACGCTGCACAGACCCCCCCAAAATCCCCCCTTGTTCATCCCTGGCAGTGCTGTCCAAATTTTCCTGGAGCTCTGGCAGCATCAGGGCTGTGCCCATTCCTGGGAAGCCTGGGCAGTGCCCAGCACCCTCTGGGGGAAGAACCTTTCCCTAAAATCCAACCTGACTGTGCCCTGACACAGCTCCAGCCATTCCCTGTGTCCTGTCCCTCTCACAGGGAGCAGAGATCAGAGCTGCCCCTCGGGAACTGAACTGAACTCCCCTCAGTTCCCCCTTCTCCAGGCTGAACAACCCAAGTGACCTGAGCCTTGCCAAAGTTAAACTCAAGCAGAGCATCAGGGAGCTGTGCTGCTCACAAATAAAGGGACTTTAATGGGCCAAACCCAAACCAAACTCTCTTTAATCTTTGCCACCCCCAGCAGAGACCTGCAGCGGTGCTCCTGGACTTGGAGTTTTTAGTAATGATCAAAATAGTGGGGTTTTGCTACCTCCTTCCTTCTGTCCCTCCCAGCCTGGTGAAGATCCATCAGGAATGTGTTTATTGACCTGACAAAGGGCCTTTGCTTTGCTCCYGGAGCAGCCTGGTTTCCTCTGAAGCGTTAAGAAACCACACTGACAAGAGCAAAACGGGCACATTTCCCCTTCCAGTGAAGTCTGCAAATATTCCAAATAGCTGTTGGTACGTGTGGCCACTCGCAGGGCTGGAATTAAGGGTTTGGGAGAAGCAGGGTTGAGTTCCCAACCTTGCTGATCCCGAGAGGGATTTGTAACCATGAGTGTCAGGCTGGGCTTTTCACCCCTCTGTTTTGTTTGCAGGAATGTTTCTGAGACATTTTGTTGCTTACTGAGTGTAAAAATGTAAAAATTTTAGTGCTGATGGCATTTTAAAATCTGATTGGTTTTCCTTCATTTTTTGCTCCTTGATTTTTTCCCCAGTAACTGGGTGATACCCTGAGTAGGTGAAGGATAAAGGGCCTGGTGCTCTCTCTCCTGCCGTGTGGGATGAATCCCTCTCCTAATGTCAGACCTCAGTGGAAATGGGGGAAAAAATGCTAAATTAAGATTCAGCTTGAGAATTAAGTCTTGCTAAGGGACCCAAATCTTCTCAGTGCACAGATCCATGAGGAATCCAGGCAGTGAGAATGGATTGAGCCCCTCCAGCACTGAAATCCATGCCCAGGAATGGGGAGCGTGGCAGAAGGCACTGTGCTCTGAGCAGGAATGAGAGGAAATCGCTCTTTATTGCCAGTGCTTGGAGTTTATTGCTCGTTAAACTGAAGGGCTGTTGGCTTCTCACATCCCGCAGGAGTTTTATGGGAAAGCAGTTTATGGGATAAGGGGGCAGTTCCTGAACCTCCCAGCCTTTTCCTTTGGTGGGAGACACGCAGGACCATTCCATTCCCGTGTGGATAACCAGTTTCTTGCAGAGCTTTTCACCCACTGGTTTGGTGAGAAAAAAAAACCCCAGACTCACCCAGGATGAGGAGGTGATGCCCAAGGGCTGTACTCACCACCAGCTCCCGGTGGAAGCTCTGCAGGTCCATCCCGGGACACTCATCCCATGGAAAWTCAGCCTTTTTTAGGCAAAATCAAGGGTGTGATGGGTGCTCAAGGCAGGAGGAGGACGCTGGGTGCTTCCACAGCTGGGTCCTGAAAAACAGGGAAAAACAAAACGAAGGCAGAGAGGGAAACACGAAGATTGTGAAATAAAATGATAGTGAAGGTGGAACGGGAGGAACGAGGGGGTCAACGCCAGAGGAAACAGGACAAAGTGACGGGCGAGGAGCTGGGGCCGGACTAAAAAAGAAAGAGGAAACCTCGGCAGCCGCAGGCGGAGGCTCCGGGAATGGCTCAGCACTAGGGGACACCATCGGACCAGAAAAAAAGTCTGGGTTCGAGCAAAAACCCAACCCATTCGCTTTCCTTTTCTGTGCACGCTGTCACRGCACCAGGGTGGCACTCGGTCCCCTCTTCCCGGCTCCTGTCCCGCTGTCCAGCCCATAAAAACGCCACCATTCCTCACTGTCCTCATCCCACTAACAATTCCTGTTTCTCTGCACAGATTTCTCCCTGTTCCTGAGTAAAACCTGTTCGGGATTTGCTGCCAGGGTGGCACTTTTGTGTGCCCACAGGGCAAAGGCACAGGCGGGGACATTGTCTGTCTGTCCCCTGGAGCTGATGGCCAAATCCCTGCTCACCCCTGTGGGATGGATGGAGCTTCATAACCGGACACCCCACTGCAGATCCCGCACCTTCTTCAGGAAAAGCCAAGGAGAAAACATTCCCAGCAAACTTTTCTGTGCAGGAACCTGTCCTTGAGATGTGAGACCAAAAAATCACAGCCAAAAAAAATCAGTCTTACCAAGAGCATCGCCGCCCTCCAAGTGTCTTCCAAGCACTTTCTGCCTGTAAATCCAAATTTATCCAGGTTCCAGCAGATTTTTGTGGGGCTGCTCCACCTCTGCAAGGTCAACCAAAACCATCAAAACCCCAAGCAGCACCTGCAGGTGGTGGCCTGAATCCAGGGATGTTGGGCTACAGCAAAGGCCAGTTTGKCTGGAGCAAAATAACTCCAAAATGCTGGGCCAGGAGTGCCCCCAACATCTCAGCAACTTCTGTGCTGCTCTAAGSATTTATTCCACCATTATAAATTATTATTCTTAAACAAATATAAGACTCTGGTGCTGTGTGCAAATTAAATTTTATTGTAGGGAAGAAAGATCCGTAACAGAGACTTTCAAACAAAACACACACACACRAAAAAGCTGCCATTTCCTTTGCCATAACCATTGTCTCATTCAAATAAAAAAGGCAAAAGGTTAAAAAATAACTCTGGTGCAATAAAAATGCTTTGCAACATATACATATATATATATATATATACACACACGTTTAGCTTTACTGTACAATATTTTAAAATTTGGGGATGGGCATATTATTCTTACATATTCTGAAACTGTTTCCCAGGATTTTTATTTACAGCTGCACAATGCCTTTAAAGCCTGGAGGCACAAGTGGAATACTCAATGCTGACCCTTGTAAGTGAATTTTAGCCAATTCTTCCTCATGCTTTCCCTGAACAATTTGCAGTTCTGGCTTTGAACTCTGGGCTTTGCCCTCCTGGGTGTTTGAGGGGTGTCTCTAACGCTTCTCTACAGCAGCAGCTTTCAGCYCTCTGCCACTTTATCCTTAAAATTTGACAAAGGAATTTCAGATCTGCTTGGGAATCCACATCCATCATTTGTCCTGCAGGTGAATTTGCTTTTTGAAGTGCCTTTTGCTGAGGCAGRGCCATGCTGTAAAAAGTGAGTTTACTCTCTAATTATCTGCACAGATGATTTCTGAAGCAGAYCCCTTTCCGAGCCAAACTCCTTTTGCTCACTGTTATTCTTCACCACTAAAACTGTTTTCTTTATTCGAGATAACATCGAGTAACTTCATAAATACCATATCCAAACACACTTGCTGTTCATTTATCAACTCCTTCTCCAACTGAGAGGTTTAATCCTACAAGAATTTCTATTTCTGTTGGGATGTGTTGCTCATCTCCAGCCAGGCTCTGCTCCAGCAGAGGCAGGAGTGCTACCTTCCTGCAGATCTGCTAGAAAAGTACAGGAACGTTTCCTTCCATCCAAGAGTTTGAAGTTTTTCTTTACAGAAGAAACACAAGCCAATGTTTTTTCAGCATCACATCTCATCCAAAATCAGATTTTGGATCTCCAGCTGTCCCTAAAGATTTTTTAGAGGGCCTCCTGTTGCCTCTTTTCTCCAGATGTGGGCGAGGTGAACACTCTGGAACAGATCAAACATCCTAGAGAGCTTTATTTTTATTTTCTATTAATTTAACAACTTTAGCCAATAGTTGAGAAGGGCAAATCTGACTCCAAGCACCCAGAGCTCTACTTTTACCCAAAAATTCCTGCAGACCGGAGTGATAATCCAGATCCTGCAGACATCACTTACAGGACAAGTCGCACTGAAACAAGTTTCCCTTTTATCCTTATTCCTAAATTATCCTGCACAGTAGGATACTGCAATTTTTACAGCTGATCCCATGATTTTTCTAGAAATTGGGAAAATACTGGCAAATCTGCTGCCCACCAAAGCTGCTTGGTGAGGATGGGAGAGGGGCCCATCCTGATTTGCAGCCCAGGGACAGCCCTGGGAGCCTTGAACACACACAATAATCCTAAAACCCAAAATCCAGAGGCAGCTGGGAGCAGGGCAGGAATTATCCCAGCCTCTCAGTGTAAATAACTTGGCGGCTGTTGAAGATCCAGTGAAAACTCWGCTCTTGTTGTTTGTCAGGAGCTCCCCACACGCCGCCAGCGCTGTTTACATTTCCCACTGGCTCGGGAAATTAACGCTCTTTGAGAGTTGTGAAATGAAGCAAATGCCCAAATACAGCCTTGGAAGGGGGTTTGGGAGTTTATCAGCAGCTGCACCGTTTGCTGGGGGTGGCTGCTCTGTCCCACGTGGCTCTGGGGRTCCCAGCCCAGCCCCAGCAGTGGCTCTGCCACCAAGTACCACAAACCAGGGACTGCCCACAGTTATTTAATCACAACAAAGGCTTGCAAGCCTCCATCCCATCTTCTGGAAGAGTTTGGAGCTCTCCATCCCTCACCAGAGCTCTCAGGGGAAGTTTAACCTCCTTACAAAGGTGCCACGGCYGCCCTTCCATTCTCCCTCTGGCTTTCTCCAAAGGGTTCCTCCTCCTTGTCYTTCACGGAGATCTTTTTCCTGAAGGCTTGCGACAAGCTGGAGGAAGACGCCTTCCTCAGCGTGGTCAACCTCTGCCGGAAATTTCCCCCGGAGAAGAAGTAGAGGAGGGGGTCAAAGCAGCAGTTGGCGGCTGCCAGGGGCAGGGTGACCACCACGGCTTTCTGCAGGAACACGGCATCCCCGCAGCCGGGGCCGCGCAGGCGCAGMGCGTGCAGGTGCACGGTGCGCAGCACGTGGTAGGGCGTGAAGCTCACCAGGAACGTGGCCGTGACGATGACGATCATCCACACGGCCTTGCGCCGGTTGGCCTCGTTCTTGCGCAGCGAGTTGCGCAGCAGCGTCCGCACGATCATGGTGTAGCAGATGGTGATGACGACGAAGGGGAAGATGAAGCCCACGAAGAGGGCGATGAGATCCAGGATCACCACCATGTTCGTCTTCTGGGAGTTCTCCGGCGGCTCGAAGCACTTGGTCTTGTTGCCGTGCTGGTAGGTGCCGTTGCGCAGGAAGGGCGCGCTCGTCAGCGTGACGAACACCCAGATGCAGACRCACACGATCTTGGCCTTCTTCTCCGACACCAGGCCCACGTTGCGCACCGGGAAGACGATGGCGATGCAGCGGAAGAAGCTCATGGCCGTCATGAAGAAGATGCTGCAGTAGAGGTTGACGTAGAGCGCGTAGGACGAGAGGCGGCACAAGAAGTCGCTGAAGAACCAGTGGCCCTTGTGCACGTAGTAGATGACGCGCAGGGGCAGGGTCAGCACGCACAGGAAGTCGGACAGGGCCAGGTTGAGCATGTAGACCTGGAAGGCGGTTTTCTGGCGGTACGTGCGGATCAGCACATACAGCACCACGCCGTTGCCCACGAAGCCCGTGATGCTGATCATGGAGTAGAGCGTGGAGTAGACGCTGTTGCGGAAGTCGTCGATGGAGTGGTGGCACGACAGGTTGGGGGACGGCGCTGTCATGGTGCCCGGCTGAGGCGTCAACGCTCTGGGGATGAAAGCTCAGGTGAGGTAAAGCAGCACAGGGAAATAAAATCCTGTGATTAAATACAAGTAAAAACCTGTCATCTCTCTCAGAATAGCACTGGGAAGGGATGTGGATCTGATCCATCCCCGCCATGTCCACCTTGCTTCACGTGGTGCCAACAACTGGTCACGAAGGACAAAATGTGACAGAGCCATGGAGTCACAGGACCAYRGAGTCCTWAAGGTTGGAAAAGACCCTTGAGATCRTCAGGTCYAACCMTCAAGCACCACCACCATGATCACCAGTAATYCCTGTCCCCAAGTGCCACACCYMCACATTTKGGGACAAATGATGGCTCCRGCACTTCCCTGGGCAGTCTGTTCCAGGGYTTGACCACCCTCTTGGTGAAGGARTTTTTCKTAATATCCATTCTAAAATCCCCCTGGTGCAACTAGAGGCCATGCCCTCAGGACATGAAAATTACCAAAAAGCCTCTTAACTCCTCACAAACTGAGGCAGCTACTCAGCAAAACACAGAGGGGGACAATGAAGGTGACAACAGMACCATGGAATTTAAAATAGGAGGAGCAGCCTTGGACCCTAATAATTGTTCAGCCTTGCCTCTCCTCTTTTTTGAAATTAATTTTCAGTTTCTGRTGGCTCAAATGCAGAACCTCCCTGGCAGCCCGAGACCATGAAAAGCTGCAAGATCAGAATTGCAGGACAAGAGCTGACTGAAATAACAGGACACCACAACAACAACAAAAGCAGAAGCTGAGATCAACCATGACAATCCACAACTGTACCATGAATACGCTCAAAATTGCTGTCAAATGTATTTTCATCCACAAAAAAAACTTGGCAGCATTAGAGTCTCTGTGTGTGTCCCCGGGATTTACTGAAGTCAGAATCCAGAACMACTCTGGGATGCTCAAGGCTTCCAGGTTCCAGTCAAATCTCAGCTGTTTTGGTATTTGTACTCTTTTAAAAGAGTCCTTTGATTATCTGCAATGCACAGACTCAAGCTCAGCAGGTRTCAGTGAGGGGACTGTCACCACCGCAGGGCAGAGGGGGTGATGATGTTCACTAAAAATCCTCCTCAGCCTGAACAAAGCCACTAGTTCGCGTGTCAAGGACCTTTTGTTACGTGATTTCCTCACCTCCAGCAACCAGCCCACAMTTCAGACAACCACTTCAGGTATTTGTCCAAAAGACAAGCAAGAYTTGTTTTCTGTTGTATTTCTAAACATAATTTGACTTCTGCAACCGAAAGGAAACCTGATGATCACAATCAAACAGCTCAAGCATGGGAGAATATCACACTYACAAATGGATCTGTAAAAAACAGCAAGAATCCCACAAAATAGCATTTCCCAGCTGTGGCTTTAGGTTTGCATCAGGAATTGAAGACAAACATCACTTCTGCCATCACTTTTTGTTTGTTCTGTCACGGTTCACTGAATCATTTATTTATGTACTGGGGAATTCAGCTCCCTGGGAACGTGCACAAGTGAAAGGGAAATGCAATGGATGAGAAAAAACATCCCAAAGGAGCAAAACCCTAGACTATTGCTATTCTCCAAGTCTGATGCAGCAYAGATAAATTCACAATTTGTCATAGAATTACAGACTGGTTTGTGTTGGAAARGGCATTAAAGATCATSCYGTTCCACCCCTGCCATGGGCAGGGACACCTGCCACCATCCCAGGWTTCTTGGACACTTCCAGAGATCCAGGGGCAYCCAGAGCTTCTCTGGGCACCCTGTGTCTCACAGGGAAGAATTTCTCCCCACGATCCCATCTAACCCTGTAAGGGGGAAGCCCCTTGTCCTGTCCCTCCATCCCTTGTCCCCAGTCCCTCTCCAGCTCTCCTGGAGCCCTTTTAGGCACGGGAAGGGGCTCTGAGTTCTCCCTGGATCCATCTCCAGGTGAACCCCAGCTCTCCCAGCCCGGCTCCAGAGCAGAGAGGCTCCAGCCCTTGGAGCATCTCTGGCCACCAGCAGATTACACTCTATTTAATAACACAACCAAAAAGCACAAAATCGCTGCTGTCGTTCGTTCCAAGCCCGARCACGCAGCATCCCCGTCCCGAGGAGAGCTCCGGGCGCTGATTTCCTCGTTTGGGGAGAGACGGGAATGCCCCGAAACACCAAGCGCCCGCTCCAAACCCCAGATCCCGTCTGCGAGGGGACGGAGCGGGGGACGGGACGGGAGCGGAGCGCTCCATCATCGCCGCGAGCGGCCGCTAATTAACGCCGCAGCTCATTAGCGGTGCGGGGATTCAGTGGCTCAAACCGGGATACGGCACAAGCGATGGGGGCACCGAGGAAAAGCCGAAACTCCTCACCCCGGGACCCCCCAATTCAGCCCCAATTCAGCTCCAATTCAGCCCCAATTCAGCTCCAATTCAGCCCCAATTCAGCTCCAATTCAGCCCTTACCGGAGCGCTGCGGGGTCGGAGCGGGCGCGGATCTGCCCCAGGCGCGCCCCCGCCGCTCTTTAACCGGGGCGCGCCCCCGGTCCCGCCCCCGGCCCCGCCCCAACCCCACCGGGACCCCGAAACCTTCAGCTTTTCCGAGGTTTTCCCACTTTMCTCGGAAATAACATTTGAAAGCATTCCAGCCGTGCCCACGCCCCCAGCCCGGTGTAAATTACCGGTGTCACCTCACTGGTTATGTTCTGTGAGTAGTTTATTCCTGCGTGTAACTGGCACGGAGCTTGTCTCTGCTATCAGAATTTAGTATCTTGKTTAAAAATAGTTTTAATGAGAATTTTTGATGTTGGTCTTATCAGAGGGAAAGCAGAATTCTCATGAATTTAGCACTCAGTTCTTCCAGCATCCCAAAAGACACTATATTTGTCTTTTTTTTAGCAACTGTGGCTTTGTCAAGAATAAACAAACCAAAAAACCGCCAAAATTAAACAAACAAACAAACAAAAAAACCCCAAACAAAATCGAATAAGCTCCAAGGCTACATCAAATGAAGTATTACTTTTCTCGATTTTGAATATTCTAAGTGTGGGTTGTCCCACTGACTTTTCAGTTAATTGTATTGGCTTTCTTCTGAGGATGTGTAAGATGCTGTTCCCACCTTTGCTAAGGAGTTTGGGAATTTTTCTATTCTCCCATCCCCAATGGATTTGACTGCAGGTCTCAGGGTGGGGGGACCCAGCAGCTTTYGGCTTCTCCCAGGGCAGTGGGGAATCCTCTGGGGAAAGAAACCTTTATCCATGGTGGGAACACCTCCAAGTGGTGCTGAAGCATCTGGAAGTGTCCAAGTTGAGGTTGGACAGGGCTTGGAGCAMSCTGGTCCCGTGCAGGATGGAGGTGTAAGAGCCTTAAAGACCGRACAATTCCTTGTGCTGCTGCAATCTCCTGTGCTGGGAGCTGCCTCTGAGTTTGTTTTATTTGTGGTGCGCATTCTGCTGTTACTCCATTCTGCCACTCCTTCTGCTTTTTTAGTGCATTTTTTTGGCCATTCCTTCTGCTTTTTGCTACTCAATTATTCCTTCTCCTGTTCTTCTTTTTTATTTTTTTGTTTTAATTTTGTTTCTCTGTTCCCTTTTCTCTTTTTCCCTTTCACTCTCAAGAACAGGAAGATTTCTAGTTGCAAGGTCAGGCTGAGGTTACTGTGGGATCAAGGAAGTTGCTCCAGATTTGCTGGAATTGCAGCCAGAGCTTTGGTGGGAAGGGTTTCCACACTGAATTCCACRAAGAGCTCAAACTGCAGCTCTGCCACGATGTGGCAAGATGACACGTRGAATTTGGGGGGTAGGACTGGGTTACTCACTGATAAATCAACATGTGAGGAGATCCAGAGGAGAGCAGGAGAAAGGGAGGACTCCAAAAAGGAGTCCTGGATGAATTCCCAGAGGAATTAGGGTGAAGAAGACCCCAACAAAGTGATCCCAATCAGGTCTGATGAGAGCAATTTGATGCTCAGGCTGAAATTCCCGATTCCTTTTCCACAGTGAGAAAAGGAAAAAAGGCACAAATGAGGCTYTGGAAATCTGTCTGGGACCATCCAAACCTGGGAAAAGCTTGACTGTGCTTTAGGGTTTTCACTTAGCACAAACTGACCCTCCCCTGTCTTCTCCCCCTGGACCCCAAATTCCTGCAGCTCCAGCCAGGCCCAGATTCCAAGAAGCTGAGCCCTTCCTCAAGGATCCTAAATGCCACTGATCCAGCACACAGCTTATCTCTTTACTGCAGGACTTCCAGAYGACTTCCTAAAAGCCTAAATATTTCCCAGAATGGATGAAAAATCCCGCCAGCATCGACAACTTCTTCCACTCTTGCTGTTTAAGAGCAGAAAGATGGGGTTTGATGAGGAAACAAACATCTTGTTAACAATGTCGTGTTCTCTTTCCTCTCCTGGGACTTTCTAAAGTCATTTCTCTTGGAATCTTGCGGGGTAAGGATGCTGGTCCAGCTTCAGACTTGCTCCAAATGATTTGGTGTGGGCTGGGCTGTGAGACACTGGTAGAGATCTCCCAGTAGCAGCATCACCTGGAGGGTTTCTCCAGAAAAACGGGATTGTGGTGATACCTGAAATGGGGTATGGGCATTTGGGAATGGCTCTGCCTGCCCTGATTAGCTGGACTCAGCCAGCCCCACCTGGAATGTGCATGGATTCCCAGCCATCATCGCAGGAATGTCCCTCCTGCATGGGGAGGAAAGCACAGCAGGAAAGAAAAAAAAAAAAAAAAAAAAAAAGAGGAAAGGAGGATGGAAAGGTTTTGTTGGGGTTAATGAGGGGAGTGCACCAGAACAGCTCTCCTGGGTCTGGCAGGGATGCTCTTCCACTGCAAAGGGGTGGGGAAGCTGGAGGGAAAGGGGAGCTCTGGAGGTGTCCCCCAGTGGGAGTGGAAACAAAGACCCTTTCAATGCAATGCATTCTGTGAATGGCCTGAAGCCCTGAAGCCCACAGTTATTCTGAAACAGGAGGGCCCTGCTCCGGGAAGTTCTGGGTCAGGGCCACCTCCCTCGGCACGGGGACGAGCCCGT